GTGTGTGAGAAAGAGAGAGATCTTAAGAGAGTTTTAATTTGTTGATGTGGAAGTCATCATCATTTGGGACTGGCAGATTAAGTTGGGATCACATTTTCTTACTGTAATCTATCACTCAACTCTTTCCAGTCTCTCTGTTTTGAGCTATCTCAGTGCGAGTGTGCGCGCGTGCCTGTGTGTGCACGCTCTCTCAGGTGTAATTACCTGCTAGCACATATCCATTTTCCCTTTTAATGGATGGGGAGAGGAGACACACAGGAAGAAAGGGAAGTAGAAAAATGGAGCATGAAAGAGATCTTGCTGTCTTTTCTCGCTTCCATGTTGACAACAGCGTGCGCACACACACGCTCTTATGTAGAGAAATTAGTTCTTCTCAGGCATTTCCAGATGGAGTTGCAATGAAATTCCAGGAAGTGCGTCTATGTCCGAACTTTTTATTCAGGAAAAATGGTGTCCTGCGATCCATTGTCTTCTCTGTGTTATAGGCACGGGTGCTTACATAATGAGCCTTGACCTTGACTGCACCTCTCTCTTTATTTCTCTCTCTGGTATCTTATTGTTCATTGTATTGTATCTCAGTGAAAAACAACACATGAAGAATAGATACTTGCAGCACACAGTTTGGAACAACGCAACGGTCTAAGGGGTGTGTGAGAACAAACATGCAACTAATGTAGCAGTGAAACGGTAGTGACTCCATTGACTATACAAATTAAAAATTACACATCACTGTCACTTGGTTATGTGTGCAAATTTTTGACACTGTTACATTTTATTGATAAAATAGTTATTTGTAGCCCTGCTTTCACTCAAAGTGGATTAAATTAAAAGTTAAAGTCTATGTGTCTTGACTAGTTCTGAAGTAAGTATTGTTATCTTGAACTGACTGGAGTGAGTACAGGTAGACCTTACTATTACTGGGTTACTTGGTTTGACCCCCTTCAAAACAGCTTAAATTCTTCGTGGCACAAATTCAAATGTGTTTTAAAATTGTTGCTTCACAGTTGCTTCACATTTATTGGCTCTTGTTCCACCACATCCCAAAGGTGCTCTTTTGGATTTAGATCTGGTGACTGTGGAGGCCGTTTGAGTGCAGTGAACTCACTGTTTGAGATTATTTGAGCTTTGTGGGGTGGGGTTTTAACCTGCTGGAAGTAGCCATCAGAAGGTGGGTGCACTGTGGTCATAAAGGGATGGACATGTGTTGTCTAACCGGTACTTTGAAACAATCCCTCACACCATGACACCATCACCAGACCCAAACATTGATACAAGGCAGTATGGATCCATGCTTTTGTGTTTAAGGCAACTTCTGACTCAGCAGTTGAAATCAGGACTCATCAGAACAGGAAATGCTTTAAAAAAAATCTTCTCTTGTACAATTTTGGTGACACTGTGTGAATTAGATCCTCAGTTTCCTGTTCTTATACAGCAGGGTGGCACCAGGTGTGTCGCTGTAGCTCATCTGCTTCAGGCTTCAACGTGTGGTTCATCCACCTTGTAGGAGTCTGACCATTCTCTTCTGACCTCTGAAATCAACAAGGCATTTTTGAAGGAGACTAGAGAACTGCTGCTCACTGGATATTGTCTCTTTTTCTCTGTTTCTTGTGTGGGAAAGTCAGCAAATCAGGAGTTTCAGAGATATTTGAAGCAGCCTGTCAAGGACCAGCAACCTTGTCAGATTCAAAGTCACTTAAATAATCTTTCTTCCTCATTCTGAGGCTCATTTTGAACTTCAGCGGCTTGCTTTGACCATGTCTACATGCCTAAATTCATGGGGTTGCTGCAAGTGACTGGCTGATTAGAAATTTGAATTAATAAGCAGTTGAACCGCTGTGCTTAACAAAGTGGTTTGATTAGTCTACTTAAAATCAGGCTCACACACATTCTTTCACACACATGTTCTTGTACATATTAGGCTAATTACTCCACACAAATCTACTGTCATGCAAGTGCCCTTGATTGGACGTATGAAATTAGACTAAATGTTAGACCCAGAGAATTATCATTATTCTGTTACAGGAAAAAAAACTTTGTTTTTGTTTTTTTTAATGGGAATTGATTGTAAAGATATTTTAAAATATTCAACTATCACAGGATTTGTTAAGTTTAATAATTAGATTACTCCTTATTTAATTAAAGTCTGTTTTTCTCTCCTCTGTCTCTCAGAATATGACAGACACCTAGCAGCGGCAGTGTCTGCAGGGAAAACCATGGCGTCAGCCTACCTGGACCCCAACCTGAATCACACCCTCCTCGAAGGGGCCAAGTCCCGACTGAGTGCGGGGGGATCGGACCGAACCATGGCCGGCTCCGTGGACAGGGTTCTGAAAGTCTGCCATCACTTTGAGAGCAACACAGAAAATAGCTGCTGGTCTTCCAATATAAGATACGGTGATGCAACCGATGTCAGGGTAAGATGCTTTTTTTGTATAGTGTCACAATATTAGGGACACTTTGCCATTAGCTGAGACACACAATATTTATTTAGAGTAAGAAGTAGCCTTCACAGCAATAATACTCAGTGCTCATAACTCTCTCAGGTCAAAATGTGACAGTTGTCACTCAGGAGTACTTTTAAATTACTTTTTTTTTTTGTTTTTGTGCCATTTGTCCTCATCTCAACGTCCTAGCTGTCGGCACTGTTAAAACGGGCCCAAACGCACTGACAATATTTTGCTTGCTAATGCATGTCACCTCAGGGCACCATTTATGTGTGCGCGTGCTAGTGTAGGTTTACTTAGCAGGATGCTTTTAGATCCACCGCTGTGACGTAGAAACTACCTAGCTCTGCTCAGATTTTATTGGTCATACGTCACTGCCGATCTCCTCTGCTCTCCTTTCATCCCTCTCTACTTCAGTATCTAGGTCAGACCCCCCAGCGTTTTACATGGGAGCACACATGGCTCTGTGAGCATTATTGTGCGCGTGTGTTTGATGTCTGTCAAGTTGTTTGGGTGGGAATGTCACGTTAAATCTCTTGAAGTCTCCGACACAAACTCACGCAGACATAAACTAAAAAATCGATGGTCTCATCCAAAATGTCAGGGAAACATTGGCTGACTTAATAAAGTAAAGCTTTTTTTTTTTTTTTTTTTTTTACCAAAAAGACACAACAAAAAGTTTTTGTTTTATTTAAAACATATCAAACTTATACAGGTGTTTTTGGCACCCAGGGACAGCACAGATACATTAGAAAGTAATTATGCGTATTTTACCTTCATAGATATGAAGTATTATTTGCACAGTCATCAGTCATTTTATTTCTCTTTTTTCCTCTTTGTCTGCAGGGGATCATCCAGAAGATTTTAGACATCAACAAAGTGCGCTGGACTTCATGTTTTGGCCTGCGGCTCAGTAACGGTCAATCCAAAGACCAAGTGCACTGGCTCCACCCAGATTTGGGCGTATCCCACGTCAGAGAGAAATATGAACAAGCACGGCCAAATGAAGAGTGGAGGTGCAAGATGAAGCCTGTATTTGTAATGTTGTGATAAGAGCCACTACATCAAATTGCAAGCTAGACTGCTGTTATAAGGGACCAGACAGGATCCTCCTATTTTGGATGGGTCACATTTTTTAAATTACTGGGGGATAAACTCAGGTGGAGGAGTTTTAGCATCCCAGGGTCTTACTCACAAGTGAGGGGAAAGTAGAGCAGGAGCCTGAGACAGATTATTGCATCTTTGAAAGTGATGCAGATGCTCAGTGTGAAAGTGTCATTTTCACCTCACCAGTCAGTCTAGATTCCTACCCTAACCTATGACCATGAGGTCTGGGTAGTGAGTAAGGCAATAAAATGAAGACACAAGCAGCACAAATATCTATCTGGCCTCTCCCTTGAAGAACGGGTGAGGTGCTCAATCAGCACTGGACTCAGAGTAGAGTTGGTAGAGAAGGCTGCCATCTATATGAGGTGTTTTGTTAATGTCCTACTCAGAGGAAAGCCTGGATTAGAACCAGGATGCACTGGATACTGGATGCTCTGTTGGCTGGCTTGGGAACACTTGCCTCTGGAAAGATGTAGAGCAGGAAGCTGGGACCAGGGAGGACTGGGTATCTCTGGGTAGACTATTTCTCTCTGACATGGCTACACAGCAGAAATGGATGAAGGATTTGTGGGACTGTCTTCAGGACGGTGAAAATATTTTCGATAGTTTATGAATAAATATGTTAATACAAAGTTATGTCTAAACAGGCTTCTAACGTGTTTTGACATATTGTTTGCCATCATGTGTTTGAATTGTTGTGTCAATTGTCCCTGTTTATGTGCAACAAAACTTAAACTAAACATTATGTAATCTAATTTAAAGTTGATAAAGTTTATAACCAGAACCTCATGAGGTAGATGAGTTTTAGATGCTTGCATGTCTTAAACAAGCCCCTTCCTGGAGGATGTTGAACTTGTAGGTTATGCTTTATAAACAGTTTCCTGCTTGGGTTAGACATGAGTTATTTGGCCTTGTAAAGTCAGTAGTTTCAAAAAGGGCTAGCTTCAGCAGTCTGCCGTATTGTATTTCGAAGCAGAAGTGATTTATTGCAACCGGCATCATGAAAAATTGCGTGACCCGTCTGTCGAATTGTGATGAGAGCCCTTGTGCGCACGGTGCTGTGTGGCTGTAAAGGCTGAGTAGTTTGGATGTTAATGCTCTGGTATACATTACCTTTATTGTGGCAGTCTTAGTGCTGATTCTATTGTGAGGTGGAGACCTTTTGCTCGGTGGACATAAAGAGGGAGACAGAAACAGATGCCTGCTTTGTGTGACTAAGTCAACAACTATCTCTCTGTCTGTTTCTGCTACACTGATTTTTACAAGCACTCCTCTCATTTGCATTCTTGCATCTTGCGCTTTTGTAATCTCCCTCCGTCCCTTGCTGATTCTCCTCCTTCTGTTCACCCGCACATCTTTATATTCACATCACAAATAATCCTTACATTAGTGTAACGTAGTGATGTCTTTGTCTTCTTTCTCTCCTCCGTAGGTATGAGTTAAGAATCCGATATCTACCAAAGGGCTTTGTGCAGCAGTTTACAGAAGACAAACCTACTCTCAACTACTTCTACCACCAGGTACAAACACAAACAGATGCACAAGCACACAAGAGACACCCAGACACACAAACATATTTCATTCCCTGCCAGCAGCTAGCACTAACGCATATGGCACTACTAGAAGACACCCTGCAAGTGTGTTTTTCTTTGGATAATCTAGGTCAGCAGGATTGCCTGTATGTGTGTGTGAGCGAGATGACCCTCCATTTGTTGAGAAGTAAATGTCTTAATAAACACCTTTGCGTATTTGCATGTTCCAGGTGAAGAACGACTACATGACAGAAAACGGAGATCAAGTGGAACAAGATGTAGCTCTCAAACTGGGCTGTCTCGAAATTAGGTAACACAATGTACTCCACTGCTTTTGTTTCCATTTCTTCACATGCAGATTGCTGTTTTTTTCTTTCAATATCAAAGAATAAAAGGTTCAGTCCAAGTATTAAGCGCTCTGTTTTCTTTGTTGTTGCTGGACGAACAATTTAAAGTACAGTTTGAGTTGTTTTCTTCACCATTGCAGAATGCACAGTCTGTCTGCCCGTCAGCTACACTGATAATTCTTGCCAACATTAGTCGGAGTTTATTATTCATTGTGCAAAGCAACAGCAGTTTTTGCATTTTATTGAAAAAGAAAATGAAAAAAAATGACCTCACTCTTTCTCTCTTTCTCTCTCCAACTGGATTCATTTCTAGGAGGTTTTTTAAAGAGATGAGAGGAAATGCCCTGGACAAGAAATCTAACTATGAACTACTGGAGTAAGTATTATCTTCATAAGCAAAGAGTTCCAGGAGCACAGTTCGGCTCCCAACCTCTCTGGTGCATCAGTCCATCCTAATCTCATCATTTCTCTTCCTGGAAACGTGTTTTGAAACACCGCTTTCAGAGCTACAGATCAGAAAAAGTAGCACAGTGTATCACTTTTTGGCAGAGGAAGTTTCTCTTGACTTGACTAGAAATCTGGATTAGTGCAAAAGAAATTGAATAGATTTTAGGAAGCGGGAATGTGAGCAACTGCAAATTGAAGCTGAGTATATTTGCAGTCCTTGTTGTTACATTTACGGGTATTAAAGAGGAAACCGTTCTATGTTTTTCACTCATGTTATCTCAATGCGTTGTCCCACTGTGGATTCTCTGAAAGATGGTTGAAGAATTTACAAAGTGAACTCTAAATGAGGCTTGCCTCTAACTTGGTGTGACTCTAATGAGCTGTCCTCTTTCACTCATGTCTTTCTTTCTTTCTGCCCGTCAGCCTAACGAGCTCTCCAATTAATCCAGAGGAATGTTTTCTGTCTTTTCTTTGTCTCTTCTTCTCATTCTCTGTCTCTCTGCACCATGTTCACTTCCCCTATTTTTATCTGGTTTTCCTTCTGTGCTCTTCCTCTCTTTGTTTTGTCTCCATCGTTCCCTCGCTGCCTCTCTCAGTTGATTGGAAAAAGATGTTGTCTCATGCATATTTTAAACCAACAAGAGAGCGAGATGGAAAGAGCTACTAGGGCTTTGATACAGGAAGCTGACAGTTGGCCATCAGAGCCTGCTGGGCCCTTTATGAGCATTAAGCGCCAAAAATGTATAATGCGCTTTGGGTAATGTATGGCGCTGTTGGCTGTAGTTGGCCCATGTTGGCCACCGTTTTGGATTGCTGGCAGAAAAGGCAGAGACTTCTGTTCATCTTTTAATTAGAGTTTTTCACCTCTGCTGCTTCTTTTTCATCTTCCATTAGCAACATTATAACAAGTATAATTATCAGGTTTCTTTGAAGAGATTTCTTATTTGACACCATTTATGCCCAATCAGAAATTCACATATTTTTGGAAACTTTACCCTTTATGTGTTTCCTTTTGTACATATTTTCCCTATAAATGGTGCCGAGTATTCTATGGCTTGACCTGTAAAAGGTCTCTATATTGATTTTTTTTTCTCTTTACATATACAGTTGAGATCTGAGAGATCTTACATCTATCAGTGGTCTTTGAAATTCTTCTACATCTTGATTCAAATCCACACGTGTAATTTGAATGCATTGGATGTAGTTGGAAAAGGCACACATCTGTCTTTAGGTTCTAACAGTTGGTGTCAGATGTCAGAAAACCAAGGAAGGATGTGGAGATAAAATTGGTGAAGAGCTGGTGAAAAACATAAGAATGCCCAAGAGCATGAAAGTCGTCATCATTCCCAAATGAAAGATGTTTGGACCACCGAGGGCCGTCCTAGATCACACAATGGCAGAGTCCGGCCCCAGGGACTGAAATGGCACCAAACCCTCTTAGCATGGTCTGCTAGGGAAGCAAAATGATCCCCCAAAATAAACAAGAGGCTGCCTTATGCTCAGGAAATTTAGGGGAAATGACAGATGTGGGCCTTCAGTGCGGTTTGATTCAATTTCAAATTAGTGTATTTGATCGGTGGCCTCTGTGTGTGGCCATATGAGACAACTGCGACACAAGATGTAGGCTAATCTAGGTGGGCTGGTGTCGTTTTTACATGGAGTTTTCTTTTGTGTTGGTTTTATTTTTAGTCATCAAATATTTGGCCTTCTGCTTATTTAATCTAAGTCAGTTTGGCTCTCTGGGGAGGGAAGAAAAGTTGGAAGTCATTATCCATCAAAGCCTCATGCAGTCATTGTAGCCAGAGGTGCTTTAACTCGATATTACTTTTGAGATTGCTCTAACACATTACACAAATGTAAAAAATCGAGTAGGTCTGCACTGTAAGCGTTTTCTCTCATTGGAGCCACAGAACATACAGTAATGTTCATGTAAACGGTCAGCTGGTTGCAGTTGGCTGTCATCTTTGTGGAGCCCGAGCAGTGCTGTTTAATCAGTGGGCTTTTGTCAGGGCTCGTTCTCTGAGGTCAGCTTGATTATATAATTTCTGTCTGTGTGTATTTCTCGTTGCTCCTGTGATGACATGCCTTTGATTTTGAGAGAACCGTTTTAGAGAGGAGTTTCTTTCATGGTCATTTTCTAAAAGAAAGTTTAACAATCTGGGAGAATTTCTGAAAACTACATTTTTATATTTTTAATTCCTGTTTCAGACTTTTTTTTATTTTAATTCTAATTTGACATTTGACCTTTATTGGGGAAACAGGAATAGGAAAAGGGGATGCAAGCTTCCAGCCTTTCTCCCACTCTCTTCACTTGTCTTTTCTCCTGAGGGGTATGAGTCATTAGCCAACTTCCTGTTAAAGCTCTGCTCATCTTTCTTTGTCTCTGTGGTCACCCTCTGTGCAATTCTTCCTGCAACTCTCTCTCCCTTTCTGCCTTCATTGGTTTTCTCCAACCCCATCTTTAAAGGAAAAGATGAGTAGTGTGCTGTTGTCAGCACTTAGTCATCGCTTTCGGTTTCTTGTCTTCTCTTGCCTGACAATTTAACTGTATCTGTCTGTGTCTGCTTTTGGCAATACCCCAGGAGAGGATGAAACACGCATCTGAGATCAGATAAAGACAGAAGTGCTTGCCAATTAACATTCTTCTTTGTAATTACACCACGATAAACATTCTGATGTTTTCTTCCTGTCTTTCTTTTTTCAGGAAAGACGTTGGTTTGAGGCGGTTTTTCCCAAAAGACCTGCTGGATTCAGTTAAGGTGGGTTTCATGTCCGTGTGGAGAGCTTGAGTTCAAAAACAAGGTCAAACTATTGATCTTGCAAACTTGGGGGCTTTACACACTGAAGGTCACAAATTTGTGCAAATATTTTTCAGAATTATTTTTCCGAACCAAACTCGATTTTTCAGATCCAAATAAACAGATCTGACCAATCAGACCGCTGCATCTGGCAAAAAGTGGCTCAAAACGTGCAATGGTACTGAATATACACTGATATACGTCAGACACCCAGCTATACACTGCTCCAGGGCAGTTAGGTCTCTGAAATTGTATTTCTCTGCCTCCTCACACGTGGTCCCAAATATGTATGAAATGGTCGTGATACAGCTTCAACTCCTGGATCTAAATCTCCTTGCAGGTTCCTTCTCGTGAGAATTGGATGAACCCAAAATTTTCTTGTTTAGAAATATCAGGACCTTAATGTCATTCCCATTTTTGACACGTTTTTTTTTTTTTTTTTTTTGAGGACAGATTTTCTGCACAAACTCAGTGTGTTTGGTGTGGATATTCGTTACACTGCAAGTCTGGATGTGAAATATTGTGTATTTCCGCTGGTATTGGAGTATCGGTGTGTAGTTTTATTAGCAGATTTCTAGTAGCTTCATCTTAGATTTTTCTAATGAGTTATTTGATGTTATCAGACATTGTGAGGTCCAGCAGATTAAATGTGAAGCAATCTAAGAAAATAGAGAAACATTAGAAAAACATTCATAAATTATCAAGTAATGTGATGAATGTTGTTTTTAACCACAAAGAATAATTTCTGCTAGGTTTACACTTGCTCAAGTATCGTATACATCCCAGTATACAGTTAACCAAGTAGTCAGCAGTTATTGAAACTACTACTGCGTACTGATGTGCTACTCAATGATTCAATGAGGTCAACTTACCGAAGTAACAGGAAAGTATGACATATTGTGTATTATAGTTACGGATTCCTGTTTCTTTGAGAAGACCTTTTGGTTGGCTGGTCGTATGTGGTGGTGGTGCTTCTTGCATATTGAGCAGCGTCTGCGTCAGTGATAAATTTACGGCACGTGTTTATGAGAATGGTCTTGGTGTGTGTGTGTGTGTGAGAGAGAGAGAGAGTGTGAAAGGCCCGGTGACCCGAAAAGGTCTTGATGTCAGCAGGCGGGGAAGACAGATGCTCTGCAGGAGAGAGAGAGACCGTGTGTTCATTCTGGTGTATGTCTGTGATGGGTATGCGTGACCCTCGGGTCATGTTTAAACCCACTTTCTCTCTCCAACAATGAAAAGGGAGGGGGAGGTGTCAATATACATCTCCTTCACCCCCCCCACCCCACCCAAAAAAAAGAAAAGAGGTCTGTCAAGCCTTGTTGACTCCTCTCGTCTCTTTTTCTGCTCCTTTGGCAGACGTCACAACACTCACTCCCAAGAGGTCTGTTTTATAAGCCGCGAAGAGGCGCACAGTGACACACATGTGCAGTCAAACATCAGTAAATTGACTCAATTATAAACGTCTCCACAGAATATTTTATTGCAGTGTTTATAATTTGTGTGACCACCTGATCTTAATTGATGCATAGCTGAAAGAAAGGACTGTTTACTTCAGAGAGACGGAGAGAGCTGAACAAAAACAAACTAATCAACAGAAAATGAATCTCTGGCTAATTTAATACCTGGTAAATGTTTTCAGTCTTATCCTCACTGTAAGAATGTTTCAATAAATCTTGGGGGGGAACTACTTTCTGTTGAATAAATCAGTCACTTAGTAGAGGGGGGAAACTGGGGAGATCTTAAAAAAATACAAAAAAACATCAAAACACACAAAAAAACATAAAATATATGTAAGCTTGGTAAGTGGCTGCCACGATTGGTCTTTTAAATACCATTTTGTTTCTTGCAGATTAATCACATTTTTGACTAGTGTTGCAGTTCTGTGTTTAATCATTTATATAATATGTACTGCCAGTTAAATGCAAGAGGAGCTGTGGCACGCTCACATGCTGCACATTTGTGTTAGTGTTTGTGTGAAACACAGAGGGAGCGAGCACAGCTGCCATTTAGGTTTGTGTTGTTCACTCTGGTGAAAGAGAACTGTAGTCATTTAATGAGATTATTCTCCCTGAATGGACTCTACTCACTCACACACACACACACACACACACACACAGATAGATAGACACACACACAGACAGACACACACACACACACACAGACAGACACACACACTAAACCCAGAGCAGATGGCCGTGATAGTAAACAGTGACTGATGTTATAAAGAGCAGATTCTGTTCATTCACATTGACTGGCCGGGCAGCAGGTTTAGCAAAGTTGACCTCTGGGATATTTGAAGATCAAAGTTGACCCGGGCTGAACGATTGAAACACTGCCGCACACTTTATTAAGGATTGGTATGATAAGGTTTCAGGATAATATAACAAAACCTATGATCATATTTGCAATATGTTTAGTAGAAGAAATAAAGAACTTTAGTTGGAAAATTCTTTGACTTCTTAGCGTGTCCGTAAAAACACGTTATTATTTTTAATTCACTGATCTGTATACTATAATACATGACAATGTAGTCATGAGTATATGGTGTATGGTAAAAATGTGACTTTAATATTAAGATTTAAAGTTCCAACAAAATATGTACTCCCACAGCTGTGTTGGTTACTCCTTGTTAGTACTGGGTTGGACCCCCCTTATGCCCTGTGAACTACCTCAATTGCTCATTACATAGATTCAACAAGGTGCTGGAAAGTCCTCAGAGGTTTTGTTCCTTATTGAGATGATGATATCACACAGTTGCTGCAGATTTGTCGGCCGTATATCCCCAAGGTGCTGTATTGCATTGAGATGTGGGTACTGTGGAGGCCACCTCTGTACAGTCATTTTAAAAACACAGGTTTGAGATGATTTGAGGTTTGTGACATGGCATGTTATCCTGCTGGAAGCTGCCATCAGTTGCTCACGCATGATAACTGTTATTTTAGGAGCAATAAAGCAACTTTTTGTTGGTGAATCAGTCGTGCTTCGCAGGGACGAAAAGAAGAACTTTGTATCACAGATCGTGCGTATGGCCAGACTGTTGTGATGCTTTGCTGTGGAAAAACCAAATAGACTAAAATAACACTAAACTGCTCCCAGTGACTGCTAATGAAGTGAACTAGTGTCAGCGAATTGATTGTTTTGTGCGTGTGTAAGTGGGGTGTTTAGATGCAGGTACTAGTGTCCTAATTGGTCAGCCAGTTGCTATAGAGACAGTCAGTGTGTTGATGAAGGAGCTGATAGCCACTCGTGGTACTTCCTCTCAGGAAGGGTGGACACTTTGGACGGACGATATCTGTGTGTTTATGCGTATTTGTGTGGTGGAATTCTAGGAATTAAAACAGTGATCCTATCTGGAGCATGAGGAACACATACTAGCTTTTGTAATGACATCTGCTGAAAGGACACATGAACACAGGGACTGTGTGTGTGTGTGTGTGTGTGTGTGTGTGTGTGTGTGTGTGTGTGTGTGTGTGTGTGTGTGTGTGTGAGAGACAGAGTATTTGTGGGTTTACTGTTTCCTTCAGGCTTAAGTAAACACCTGGCATCAGGGCTCTGTGTTGCTGCAGTGAAGTTTATATAATACAGTTTTTATTGACAAATCAATAATATTAAAGTAGCACTAAAATGAGTTAAATATTAAATTGTTATATGAATATTTCTGTCCTGAATATTTATTTCTGTTTTATAGTAAATGTTTAGTGCAGACAAATGTGTAATACCAAGTCATTCAGGCTGCCTGAGATCAGTCCGTTGGGTGTTTTTGTCCAAGTCAAGTTTGCAGTCGGTTAATCTAATAAATTCTTAGTCATTAAACTTATAATGTGCAGAATGCCCCTAATTGCTATTCTGTTTTAAACCTATGCATGTTCCTCTTGCAAGCCTGCTAAATACTCATCTTTCTTCCATTGATATATAAAAAGCAGTTCATAGGATTGTCTGCATACTGAATGTGTGTTAATTTATTTATTTTCCTAATTATGCATTCAGTGTGTGCGCGCAGGACAATATGTTGTCCATTTTTGTGCCAAGAGTGTCAAAGAATAGAGGATTAAATAGCAGAATGATCCTCCTTGATGTATTTCTCTCTACCATCTGTCTGCTTTGTGTTGGTGACATAAGAGATCAAAAAATTCACATGTGAGGCTGTGATTGTAATGCCAGCAGACCCACACGTCCTTCAGCAAAATCCACTCTGTAAACCTGTGTAAGATACAATGTACACTGTAGATGAATGGGCAGACTGTTTGCTGTTTAACTGAGTATATTTTTTCCATTTTTTGTGCAGGCTAAAACGCTTCGAAAATTGATTCAGCAGACATTTAAGCAAGTAGCCAACCTTAATGATGAGCAGTGCATCCTGAAGTTCTTGGAGATACTTGCACCAATTTACCGCTATGACAAGGAGTTCTTCAAATGTGCCCTTGGGGTAGGTTGAGTCTGCTGCTCAGTTTCACTCTGCCACGCTGCCCTCAGGGAACGCTGCTTTTCCGTGTTAGGTCGACCCCTTTTGGTGGCGTCAGGCTTTGCATGTATCCAGCGAACAATACCTGCAGACATGTAAGGCAGAAACATGGTTCTTACACAAGTCAAGCATCTGGACGGATGACAAGTATTGAGACTCCCTTCTAGAAGGGCTTTGATGCTGTCCCTACTCCCTTTCCTTGCTCATGTTTTATTTTCTGTAATTTTCTCCTGGCCTGCCCTTCTCCCTCCTCCCGGTCTGTCTCTTTTAACTTGCATCTCATCCTCTCTTTAACAGTCCAGCTGGGTGATCCAGGTAGAATTAGCCATCGGGCCAGAGGAAGGAATCAGCTACCTCACTGACAAGGGGTCTACGGTGAGTTTCTACCAAGAACATAAAGTAAAACTCATCCAGGTTTATTGCACTCTAGTTCATGATCAAAGAAAACTAACGAGTGTAGTTCACATGTTTTACTTTAATTTCTTGTGTGTGTTGCTCTGTCCTCAGCCCACCCATCTAGCAAATTTTAATCAAGTCCAGTCCATCCAGTACTCAGCTATGGAGGAAAAGGACAGGAAAGGCATGCTACAACTGAACGTAGCCGGAGCTGCTGAGGTATCACTACCCTCTCTGTTATTGTGATAAACTATGGAAAACTTGACTGTTGGCAAATAACAATTTTTCCATCTTATTTTACATACATGTAGTTAAAAAAGATCACATTTTGTTATATAATCATCCATCAACTCTTTATGAGCTTTTTATGAAGAAAAATGTTTGCTTGAGTCTTGTGAGGTAAGTAGAAGGTTTTAAGGTACCTTTTTTTCTTTGTAGGTGATATTTTACTATTGTTTCACTTGGCAGCGTCATTCTGACCTCTAAAGATCAAAAGCTATTTTCACTGTGTTGCTTAGTTTGTCTACAAGAGTGGTTTGGTTTACTGTTACTTATATGATTTGATGTACTCACATGTAAGACACGCATGTATGATGAGTTTTTCTTGAATATAAGGGCCAGCTGAAAATTTCTAGTGATTTTCTTTGTTTGTGTTTATGTATGTGTTTGAAATAATAGCTATCTGTAACAGGCCTACTATGCTGTCTGTCTGTGTTTGTGTAGCCTCTCACAGTTACGACAGCATCTCTCACCACGGCGGAGAACTTGGCTGACTTGATTGATGGTTACTGTCGACTCGTATCCATGGAAACTCACTCCTTCATTATCAGAGTTCAGAAAGGTAAAGTTTGATTGCTCCTATATGTCAGTTAGGCTTTTTTTGTTTGTTTTTAAATTGATGGTATGAAACTTTTCTTCTGTGCAAAAATGTATTTTCTTGGGTTTGTAGGGATAGAACGGTAAAAATAGAAAATACTTGTCCTTACACTGCTGGATGTATTTCAACAATTTCTGTTCTCATGACATTTGGTTTTCTTTGTGCTGTGCATACAGCCATGTGTTATGTGAGTGAGGACACATTATTCATTGGAAATTCATATTTCTGTCCTCTAGAGGGAGAGAGAGCGCTGCCTTCCATCCCAAAGTAAGTACAGACCTCATCCTTGGTATAGTTATATATATATAAAAGGAAAGAGTTGCCATGTTCCAAGATCAGTAACTGTATTTTTCTTTTTTTCTGTCAAACTGACCATGTGTGGTTTGGAGCCCTGATGACAGAGTTTTACTGAAAATAAAAGGCCCATAGCACTAAATAATGTGCATGTAGAGACTTGTAACTTGATATCAGAATAAACCACAATACTATATTTACATCAAATTAATTTCCAGGGAATTGTGGTTTTGAGAATTGAGTATTATGTAAGTGAACACAGACAAGAGCATTTCTATTGTAAAGTCTCTGCTCAGTTAAAATTCAGAAGAAAGTGACTGCTGATAGTAAAGTTCAGAGGAGGAATACAGAAGCTGCAGCGAATTCATTCTTTTACTTTTATGCCCGGTTTTGGTTTGGGCTGCATTTTTTGTTTTGCAGTTCCGGGAAAGAACCTTGTAATTTACATTTTCACTGCAAATAGAGATTTTGAATTAATTCAAATTAAATGCGTGAAAGCTTTCGTACGCTTTGAAATGACAACAGTGAACTATTGTTTTCTTGGGCTTTGTTGTTGCTTTTTTTTTCTAATGCACTTCCTTTCTTCCATTTAATCTAAAATGATATAACTAATGGCAAGTTGTGGAGAATTAGAGGGAATATGGGGACCTTTAAAAAGTTTGTGAACAGAAAAAAACTGAACAAAAACCCTCAAATGTATTTTTTCCCCCCAATAAATGAGCCGTTTGGGTTTTTTGATGCACAACTTTCCTAATGCCCACAGCGTTTTATTTGTTTATCTGTAGCTGTTGCAGCTGGGTAGATTAGCATGATTATGTTTATCTATCAGCTGTTTAAATTCAGCCTCCAGCAGTTTATCTTTGTTTTGGTCATTTCAGCTCAAATCTGTCCCGCTCTCTCTTTTATCTTTCTCCCACTCTGTGGCTCTGGTCAAATAAGGATATAAGTTTAGGAGCCAAATATTTTCCACTTAGGGTTTTTAAACACTCTCGAAGTCTCCTCCTCTTGCTTTCATTCGCTCACTCCCTTTGCTCACCCACCCTCTCTTTTCCCTTCTGTCTGTTGCTGTCTGTGATGTAAAAAGATAGTAGTAGAGCTCAGCTGATATAGGAAAAAGAAACCACGGCAAAAGGAGAGAGACAGTAAGGATTAGTTTACCTTTGAAGAGCTGCATGTGTGCAATGCATGTGGAGAACAGCTTCCATCGTTTCTCCTTTTCCTTTTTTTTTACCGTTAACTTTAAAAATCGCTGATATTGATGTTATGGAGGCATAAATGTAGTTAGTGTATTTTTGTGTGTGTGTCTGTGTAACTGTTGTCTGATTTGCTCTTGGCTCCTTTTCTCTAGACTTTCTAACAGTGAAAAAAAGTTAGAAGCAGTCCGGAGTGGAGTAAGAGCGATCTCTGTCTCAGGTAAGATACAAAATCAAGCACACTCACTCACAAAGAGGCAGTTTTAGGAGGAAGATGAGCAAGAGTCTGCTCATCTTCATCGAAGCTTCCTCGGCTCCAGCTGTCTTCCTGTTGTTTCATAATTCAGCTTTTTGTTTTTTCCCCCTCTTACTCATTTTCCCCATCATAATCTCATTGTTTTCTCCTCTGTTGGGACAGCTTCTCCCTCTCTCTCCGTCATCCACTTTGTTCCTGCTTTCTTTTGTTTACATCTTCTCCCCTCATCTTTCTTCACTCTCTCACATCCATTCACTCTTGTTTTCTCTCTCACACTCTCATCCTCTCCCCCGCCCTATTGGCTGAAGATCTTGTGACATCGATGCCTCCTAAGCCAACCAAGGCGCGGCGTTTCCTCCTCCCCTTTGTCTTCTGTTCAGATTCGCCGCCCAACGGTATCCTCGGCTCTCATTGGACAGTTAGCAGAGGAGCATATCCACAAAATTGTGATGTGGCAGAGTGAAATTCCTGATTTGATGACCACGCTTACTGAATAACTTCACATAAGGACACACAGACAGTCTTTACAAAACCCACAGTACTGAGGAATGTTAATTAAAATGTTACAGTAATAATATGTGGGTTGTTTAAGTGATTTATGGTACTCATTTAGTGCAGGATGGGTCCAAATATTGACTCGCTCTTGGTTCGTTTTTTGTGGGGAGAGTTTTTCTACATTTTAGATCTAAAGTAAAAAGTGATTTTATGGCTAAAACACTTTCTGCTCCATCACAATCTGTCCCCTTCTGCTAAACTGTCTTTGACTTCGTTGCTTTGTTGCTTTGACTCATCCAGTCTTACACAAACACACACACACACACACACTTTAACCACAATAACAGGTTATGCGATGCTTTGTAACCACACCAATGCTCACTAAAAATAAAAGACTTTAATACAAATTAAAAAACGATTGGACAAATATCTCTGCCTGAGGTTTGTGTATGTTTTTGATGCATTAGGAATTTATTTCGTAGCCATTAGTAACCAGTCTTTACCCCTTACAAGTCTAATGAAGATGGATCTATTCTGTTACTTTCCATCATGTTTTTTCCCCCTATTGTATTGTTGTGAGTAGCAGTAGCATGTGATGACACACAGAGTGAATTGTTATTTCAGGACTCCAGTAAGCACATCTTGCTGGTGAGGTCACAACTGTGTTGTTTTTCATGAATGTTGCGGCCCAAAAGATTTATCATCTGATATGGACAAATCCCAAATGTACACTCACTGACCACTTTGTTAGGTACAGCAGGTTGGTTCCAGACTGGGCCTCTTAAGAGCTGCTTTAATTCTTCACGGGATAGATTCAGCAAGGTGCTGGACACATTCCTCTGAGTTCATATTAATGTGATCATGTCAAACACTTGCTGCAGATTTGTGAGCTGCATCTCCCATTCTGCCACACTCCAAAGCACAAAGGTGCTCTGTTTGCTTGCTTTTGTGACTGTGGAGGATATTTGTGTACAGTTGTCCCTCGTTTGTCACATTAGTTACATTCTAAAAATAACCCGCGATAGGTGAAATCCGCAAAGTAGCCAACTTTCTTCTTTACAATTATTATAGGTGTTTTAAAGCTGTAAAACCCCTCACTACACACTTTATACCTTTTTCTCAGATAGGCACGAACATTCTCTCACTTTTATCTCTTGTTTAAACACTCTAAAAGTTTCGTCGACATTGTTGTGTTTGTTGGGGAGAAAACTTACAAACATGCAGTACAGCACTTCAGAGTCACACTGCTAGTGATCGAAGATTTATGTAAATTTGACAAGCTGAACGCATTTTGTACTGTACAGGAGACACGGCACGAGATTGATTGGCAATGGTCTACAGCCAATCAGGATGCAGAAGACAATGCGCTGTTAAAAAAAAGAAGGAAAAATTGCACACAAAAAAGGTGAACCTCGTTATAGTGAGGGACCGCTGTACAATGAAATTGCTGTTATGTTCAAGAAACAAGTTTGAGATGATTTGAGCTCTGTGACATGATGGTTTATCCCGCTGGAAGCAGCCATCAGAGAATGGTTATACTGTGGTCATAAGGGAACAGACATGGTCAGCGACAATATTTAGTTAAGCTGTGGGGTTTGGTACTAAAAGGACCACACTGTGCCATACAGTGCTATACAAGACAAAATGAATCCATGCTTTTATGTTGTTTACACCAAATTTTGACCCAACTGTCTTAATGTCAGCAGAAATTGAGACTCAGCAGAAAAGGTGAGTTTCCTGTCTTATGTTGGCCAATGCTGGTGAAGTTGTGTGAACTGTAGTGTCAGTTTCCTGTTCTTAGCTGACAGGAGTGGCAACTGGTGAGTTCTCATGCTGCTTCAAGGTTTGACATGTTGTGCATTCAGAGATGCTCTTCTGCATACCTTGGTTGTAACCAGTGATTATTTGAGTCACTGTTGCCTTCTTATCAGCTTGAAGTAGACTAACCATTCTCCTCTGATCTCTGGCATCCACCAGGGATTCTCAGTCAGTGAACCGTCACTCACAGGATTATTTCTCATGTTCAGATCATTCTCTGTAAAGCCCGGAGTTAGTTGTTTAGGGAAATCCTAGTAGATCAGCAGTTAGCAAAATACAACAACCGTGACACAATCAGCATCTCTTAAATCACTTTTCTACCACATTCTGATGCTCAGTTTGAACATCTGCACATCGTCTCGATCATATATGCATGTATAAATGCACTGAGATGCGCACATGTGATTGGCTGATCACAAAATGATCATTAACGAGAAGTTTAACAGCTGTACCTAAATAAAGTGGTTAGTGAGTGTACATGAGAGATGTTGCCTGGTTCTTGGAACCATTTAGAAACACTGTCATCTCATCTTTAAACCAGCACAGCACCCTCCCACATGGTTGTTTCCAGTACTCTTAGCACTGTCTGTAGCAGAGTAGCGTATAGCAGAGCAGTGTCAACAAGTCAAGCTGCTAACTGTTTGTTCAATGCTAGAAAGTTACTAAACACTCATCCCTCATTTTCCTTTAATGCTAATGCTTTTAGCAACATGGGGAAGCTGCTATACTAGAAGGACTCATGGATTTTATTGGATGTTACACATCTACCAGAATCCCATCGCTCTATTCTGTGTACGTGTCAGTTGCGTGATATCCTGGATGGGTCATAATGCTGACCTCATGTCTCCAAGTGTCGCGTTGGCAGCTGTCATCAGTAACTAAAAAGACGGCTCGGAGAAACGAGTGTGAGAGTCTGGACAGCAGCTGCTTCATAGCCGAAACCTTTAAAAATCATCCAAACTTTTCCAAATGTGATAAACAGACCTGATAAATGCAACGCTTGGAATTTCAAGCTCAGCGTGTTTTAGTAAAACTCACAAAAACAGCTTGTAAACTTTTACTCTCTTATATGCATTCAAAACTTTTCCACATTTCCCATTTAAGAAGGAAAAAATGTGAAAAAAGCCAAAAATAATAAAGCGAAAAGTTGTCACTGGGGGCGTTCTCTTGTTCTAAGAATTGAGTGAGAAAATGAGGCATGTGAGAAACCTTGATCAGTTGTAACTGCCTGCTCACTGTAGCCGTTCTTCCAATGAAACTCGCATATTAAACACAGCTGCATCCCCTGTCTGCTCACTGTAATTAACTCCCCAGCTCACATGCTTACAGCTTGACACACAGAACATACTTTATTGACACCACATTGGACTTATTGTCACTGTTTTCTACACATGTGTATTTTAACTGTACATGAGCCTGCACAGCATTAATTGAAGGAGATGTTAACGTTGCATTTTTTCCCCCTTCATTAGATTTTGGATTTTAACTAACTGCCCGCTGATTGTTTGGCTTTGCAGATCCTGCAACATCACCGTGTTGTTTCATGGCATGTCATGCTCTAACCTCTCTTCTCTCTCTCTCTCTCTCCTCTCTGCTCTGCCTCCTGCTTCTCTCTCTCTCTCTCTCTCGCTGCTGTTTGTCGTCCTCCTTCTCTGCTGTCCCGTTTCCTGCATGCTCTCCTGGACCCTGCAGAAGATCTTAGTGGGGATGGTAAAGTTATACTGTTGTTTATAATCTTTTGTTCTTATGTTCCTTCTTCCTAGTCCTCCTCCACCAAAACACTGCACTCTCCTGGGAAAGGGGAGTGCAGTGTTTTTGGTGGAGCACGTTGTGGTGGTGTGAGAGAGAAAGTGTGTGTGTGAGTGCGGTATATGTGCTTTGTTGTGTGAATATTGTGTAATGTAATTTTAATACAAAATGATTGGATACATGGATAAATAACCTGTAAGCAAGAGTAGCATGCGATTTTATTATTGCATGTTTAAGTTGAGTGTTTGTGTGATTATCTCCTATTATTGTCTTCAAAGCCGAATGTCTGCTTTCATCCGGAAGGGACACCAAAAACAGAATTTGTGTATTCAGTGGTGTTTTCTCTTTACGGGAACGTCTGCAGCTGCTTCTCTCTGTCGTTCTCCACACACAC